GAACAAGATGTAAAAAAAAAAAACAAGGCAAGCTAACTACCAGACAGAAACATTTGGTCGCAAAAAAAATGTTTGATGAGTAACATATCGTTGAATATAAAAGATGAAAAATTAATCATAAAGACACGTATAAAAACGTTTTACGTAATGTAACGCCAAATCTCCTTTTGTTACATGTAGTACATTGGTCCGTGGATATTTGTCTAAATTAATTGATTCTGTTAATCACCCTCTTAATTTATTTTACAATATCAAGAGTATACCAAAAATCAAAAACATGTAGAGGGTTCTTATGGAAACCGCCATTTGGTATACGCTTGTGGAAGAGTTATCTACAAAAGCAACGTGTACAGACTGTAGATAACATACACACGAATACACATGACTCTCATGAATTGCCATGCTCAAATAAAGATAAACGAAAATACATGCATGTTTGTTATCCTTCAAGAAAATTCAAAAATGCTTTATAGCGCTGAATATTTGATCCCTATAATTCGCTGTCTTCGGCATCTCCAGGTGTAGTATTTCAGGCACATTCCCTGGTCTCCGCGGCCGCTCTCTCTCGCTGGGGAGAGAGCGTCTCTTTCTCGTCTCTCTCTCTCTCTCTCTCTCTCTCTCTCTCTCTCTCTCTCTCTCTCTCTCTCTCTCTCTCTCTCTCTCTCTCTCTCTTTCAAAGCAAATATGCAAGTAACCATTCTCTCTCTCTCTCTCTCTCTCTCTCTCTCTCTCTCTCTCTCTCTCTCTCTCTCTCTCTCTCTCTCTCTCTCTCTCTCTCTCTCTCTCTCTCTCTCTCTCTCTCTTTCAAAGCAAATATGCAAGTAAGCATTTGTGTAATCATGTTTGGTTTATTAGTTTCATTTAAGCAATTATAATCTCAGACCGTGTTGATGCATGATCTTAACGAAAAGCATGTCAAGCACACATACGGTGAAGTATGCAAACAAGCATATAACATCTGAGGATATCCTGAGTATATCGTTATTCTGCTGGGTGCATTGCTTGTGCAAAGTTTCTGAAAATTGCAAAAAGATTGTATCTCTCTCTCTCTCTCTCTCTCTCTCTCTCTCTCTCTCTCTCTCTCTCTCTTTCTTTCTCTCTATCTCTCATACAACATACCATATGGATTAAAGCTAGTTTATTTAGAACATACAGGTTTCTTCTTGCGGGGTAAAAGTCACCCATCTAAAGGAACACCAATGAATTTGTTAAACTATCTCAGAGAACAAAATAGTATTCACGTATAACGGAATTATACGTATTTTTTCGTGTGTATGGAGATTCAGTACTGTTGGTTTGTTCGACCGCTGTATGTAAATAAATCCTACAGTCGTGCTGTTCTGGCAGAGAAGTTGCACTGATGCTGGCCAGACTCGGAAACTCCACCAGAATGCACCGTCCTCGTACTTGACTCTCGGCCTCGCGGTGGGAGACGGAGGCTCGACTGACGAGGCCCTTGCTGCACCTGAGCCTTATGAAGCACTGTTAGAGCCCCAACGTGGCGACGATCTTCTAGCGAGTTACTGTTCTATGAAAGGCGGCTTCTTGGATAAGCGTGAGAGTCCGTTTTTGTTAAAGCTGGCAGGCGCAGTAGAAGACTAGAGCGATAAACGATACTTTAAGTGCGGTCTGATCAGGGAAAGAGGATTGGGAGGTGAGATATGCGTCGGAAGGCTGTCAAATTTGAGAAGCTGTTTTGCAGATCCTATAGACGGGCCTGTTAAATTTTAGTCCATGGTCGATGTCCACACCGATGGCCAATATAAAGTCAGTGTAAGGCCGATGCTATCCCCCCCTCTCTCTTCTTCGCTTGCTCCTAGAAAGCACTTGTCGGAAAAGGCTTCACGGCATCGGGTGCGAGCTGCACCCCCTTCTGTGCTAACCTTCATGCCAAGTCACGTCAATGCAGAGCGTGTGACTTTCATGCCACTTCGAAAATTTGAAGTCTCTGGGAACTGGCCAAGAACGCAGTCAGCAAAGGAACAAGCCAACTTTTTCAACGAAACGAACGTGGAAGATTAGCAGATTTCCACATCGGAAGAGAAGTGATCTACCGCCTTCGAATGAAGTAGACTTCGGAATTGGTTGGAACCAACTTAGAGTCCCCTCTGAGGCGAAGGTGAACCCTGCGGGCAGTGCCACAAGGGGGGTCTGTAGTCAGACTGCCTTAAACCTCAGAGAAGGGTTGTCTTTCTGTGTTAGGGTTAGGGACTCCCTGGGGTGAATGCTCGCTGGCATTCACCAGTAGGTTATAAACTAGGGAGCTTAGGTAGGCGGTTCCAACAATTCCCGATGTCGAAGCCTGGTAAGAAGAAAAAAGGAACTCAGAAGAAAGTTCCGATGGATTCTCACTCCGAACCCCCGACAACTCGCCAACGACTGATGAATCAACGAGGAAGAAGAAGAGGACAACTTCCCCTGAGACGACCCAGTCCTCTGACGACACGTTGAAACCAGATCCTTCTAACGAAGACATTAACTCGACCAAGAAAGCCCGTCACGCCTCACTGGAATCTACTCCAGACTCGGATACTCCAAATGACTCCTCCCACCCTGACTGCCATCCACTTCAAGAAGAAGAAACTTGTGAAGATATGGAAGCCTCCGCAGACCCTACCTCAACACCGTTGCAAGCACCTGACCAGCCTGGCACTTCCAAGTTCCGCATCACAAGTTCCAGAGACTTTGACACTGCAGTTGATTCATTGTTTGCCATTGAAAAGGAATTTCCATTCATTGATGCTACCACCTCCATCACCAAAGACGGAGACTTCATTCTCTCAGCCAACACTGAATCTGATCAAAACTCCGATCCTTAACACGACTCCATTTGGAACGCTTTCCAATAGGCTTCCCTCTACAACGACTTACTGACCTACCCTTTGTTGTTTCGGCAACCCGATGTGTATCTAGAACCACCAAGGAGGAGACACGTCAAGTCCTTCTCATCACAAATGATACCCCGCCACCAGAGATCAATCTGGTATATTTGGAAAATTCCAAACGAGCGTATATCCCCGAGCCCCTTCGCTGTTTTAAATGCCAGCAGTTTGGTCATCACCAAGCCAAATGCAGAGCCTCCCCACGCTGTGCCATTTGTGCCCAACCTCATGCCACAGAAGGCTGTTTGTCCAAACTGAAAGCTGGAGAAAAAACAGAGGCCAAATGCCCGAACTGTGGAGGCAACCACCATGCGTGGAACCTCCGATGTGAGAAGAGACGGGCTCTTTTACCAAAAGGCGAAACACCAGCGGGACCTCCAGCACAAAGGACTTTCCCTAGGAAACTCCATGACTGGAGTAATCCTCCACCACGCCAACCGACTCCTCTCCATAACTCTACTGCTCTAAGCGCAGTTGACGCTCTCCAACCACCTCCTTCACCACAACTCAGCACTCCTCAGACATCTGTCAGACCTGTTCAGCCAATTCCGGCTGCACTTCAAGGTGCTACCTCCGCAATGACATCTCCCACCCCACATGACTCTGCCATCAGCAAGTTCTTAGCGAATACGATCCAGCTTGGTCTCCTAGCTCTAGGCAGATCAGTGGATCCTTCCATACTCCAGCTCCTGGTGGACAATGTCATCTCTGCCTTACTCACGACGACACACCCTCTCCCTCGACCGCAAAAGAATCCACTGAATCACAAGAAGCCACTCTTCCTGCTACTTCCGCGGAATCTATGAGACACTTCACTGACATCCGACAACTTCCCACCTCTACCACAACCTTCAACTTCAGGACTAATCAATCCTACGGCCAAGCGGCAGCCATCTCAATCCTCTACAGTGGTCATTCCTGTGGTAGACACCTCCAGCTCTACCTCTCATGACAATCACAAAGAATCTGCCAACTACCAACTTTCAGCCCACACACCGTCAACACTCCCCACAAATGGATAGTACTACAGCTCTTTCAACGTCTTCACCCTTACGCATCCTACAATGGAACAAAACCCTTTTCTAGAAACAAGCACATGTAATATCAAGAATTACAATGCTTTTCACTCTTACTATATGCCTGGACAAAACAGGGGTATATCCATATTTACCAAGAACTCCCTCCACACTCAGCTGATTACACCTGCACCAGAATGCGGAGCCCGTATCGAATGTCTTGGCATTCAGATCTCTCTAAATCAATCCAACTTATTCCTCTTCAATATATACCGGCCCCCACATCCTACCTGCGAATTAGAGATGGATGAACTGTTCGGATTAGCTGCACATGAACCGACCATCATAATAGGCGACTTCAATGCTCACCACCCAAACTGGAATGACCCCACCACCTCCTCAGCTTACAAAACAAATGATGCAGGGCTACACATCAAGCTCCTTCTAGATTCCTTCCCAGATGTTTCTCTTTTGAACTCAAAACAAGCTACGCACACCAAAGGAGGAGTCTTAGACTTGACCATCCTCTCCAACTCTTTAGTATCGACTGCAGACTGGTCCTTTCACCCCTACCTTATGTCAGACCACCTAGCCACCTTCACCACTCTACAGCTACCACGTCTACCACTTCCTCCACCTGTCCCAAGATGGAACCTAAAAAAAGCTAACTGGGCGCACTTCACTAAGCACTTAGAGGACTGGGCAGAGAGATACACTCCTGCAAATAACCTTCACCAATTAGAGCAGGATTTTATTGATGCTATTAAGGCAGCAGCAGATATCTCAATACCCAAAATAAATCACACATATCATGCGCATAAGGACAGTTGGTTTTACAATACACGAGTCCGGGAATTAAAGCGCAGACTGCGCTTGTTCAGAAACCTCCTTAAAAAAAAACCAACTCCCCAGATATCCATGAATCTTTCAAAACCCTAAGGAGGTTAGTTAATCATGAGCTCCTCGACATCAAAAACAAAGCCTGGCTCACTTGGTGTGAAAACATCTCTGCCCACACACCCCTCCGAGAATTGTGGGGTAAACTCCGTGCAGCATCTGGAGCAAAAACACTAAAGTCCTCCATACACCCAGAGCCTCTCCAAGAAGCCAAAAGATTAGGTGCAACATTTGCAGAAAGATGCGCTTCAGCTCAACTGCCACCCAACATCTCTAGAAAATTACAACAACTCCAGACAATACGTCAACAGACAATCACAACGGCCATTAATACTAACGCTACAAGCGATGCTCCTTTCACCAAACAAGAATTATCACAGGCCATTGTCAACAAAAGAGACACTGCACCTGGAGAGGACAAAGTCCCCTACTCATTCCTTAGCCATTTAGGCCCCAAATGCAAAAGTGCATTACTTAAAATTTTTAATAAATCATTACAAGATGGCACATTACCAAGGAATTGGAAGCAAGCTATAATTCAGCCCATTCCCAAGAAAGAATCAAACTCCTTCAGGCCAATCTCCCTCCTGTCTTGTGTAGGGAAATCCATGGAGAGAGCCGTACTCAACAGACTTCAACACATCATTCCTAAATTCCCACCGCATATCTATGCATACCAGAAAGGTGCAGGCACAGGAGACAACATCATCACTCTCCTTTCCCTTCTAGATGGAAAGGACAGTATTGTAGTATTTCTGGACCTCGAAAAAGCTTTTGAACTCGCCAACAAAGATGCCATCCTTTCTTCATTAGCAGAGAAAGGCCTGAAGGGTAAACTCCTCTGCTGGCTACAGGACTACCTGACCGACAGGCGTGCTAAAATCAGATTCCAGGGTCATCTGTCCAACTCTTACAACTTTGAGAATGGAACCCCTCAGGGAGGTCTCCTAAGTCCATTCCTTTTCAACATCCTGGTTTCCAACTTAATGACAATTCCCTTCCCAGCAAATGTACACTTGTTAGCATATGCTGATGACATACAACTCGTGGCCACAGGTCCAAACCGACATATCAATGCCCAATCAGCACTTGACGCAATTGAAGCAAAAAGCAAAGAACTGGGACTCAAGTTAACCCCGACAAATCAAAAGCACTCCAGGTAAACAGGATAGTTGCATATCACCAACTCTATATTGGTAACATACCACTTGAATGGGTCCCATCCTATAAATGCCTCGGCATCTTCAACTCTGAACTGTCAGCTACCACACACCTTCGTTTCCTATTAAGAAGCACACAGTCCCGCTTAAATGTTCTACGAAGACTCACATCCTCCAAATTAGGCGCTGGGTTCAAGGTATTACGCCTCTTCTACACACATGCCATAAGATCCTTAGTTGATTACAGCGCACCAGCACTCCTGACTTTAAAACCTGATCAACTAGCTTCCCTGGAAACAATACAGAACCGAGCCATGAGGACCATCCTTGCTGCACCTACATGGACAAGGCTTGCCAATCTTCGAGTAGAAACATATTTAACATCTCTCCATAATAGGACTCAGCAACTGTCCGTTAGTCTCTGCTCGAAAATTATAACATCAACAAGACCTTCCCCCTTGAAGTCAATCACCCATCTACTCAACAACCAAGAACTATGCCACAGTGCAAGATGGCACGGCCAGTTAGTAAAGGCATTCCACTCCTTAAACACCCTTCAAATATTAACCGCAAGAGGCATAGATAGTGTGCACCCACACTATCAACCTAATCCACCATGGAGAGACTGGGAAGCAAATATCCGAACCGATACCATTCCCACCAAGAAAGCTCTCTGCACTCCGGCCATGATTGCTCAACTGGAGGCAAATATAGCTTCACTCAGACAACCAGAAGCTCTCTTACTATTCACTGACGGCTCGGTCGATCAAACAAATGGCAAAGCAGGTGCAGCTTTTATTACAAACGGAATTATATGCCATCAAAATGGCACTAAAATATGCACTGTATCAAACACATTCAACCATCCACATATTCACAGACTCCCTCTCAGCCTTACAGGTTCTAAGGAGAACCCAAGCCACAGACAACTTAAGGCTTATCTCAACAGTCCTGTTCCATATACGACAACTAAAAGAACAGGAGAAAATCCTAACTTTCTGGTGGATACCAAGCCATGTCAATATCACAGGCAACGATTTAGCTGACACTGCTGCTAAAAACAGCCTCAAGAACCTCTTAGTCACAGGCCACATTCCTCCAAGCCTCAGCCAGCTGAAGAAGCACGTACGGAGAGCCGCTTACGAAACTCTCCTCATCGAGCACCGTGCATGGGTCATTGCAGGCTCACCATCCGCAAGCTGGTACAAGATAGTTACTGAATGCAATCCCCCCTTCCTTGTCAACAACCTCTCACGAAACACCGCTGCCATCTTTCACAGACTTCGCTTGGGTTACCGCTGCAATTGGGAGATTGACATGCGGGTTCCCAAGCCTTGTACATTGTGCGACACAATCACTCAAGAACCCCTGATACACTACGTACTAGACTGCCCAAGCATCCAACATCTCCGACCCAGGAAATTCCACAGCAACAACCGACAAGATGAAAGCCACTTTGCATCTACAGCTGCCAGATGCCTAGTGGAAATGCTCAGTCTCCCAGACTCACTATTAGTCTTCACCAGAGACCCTCCTCCTAGATGA